AAGGCACTAATGAGCCAATTAGGAGTACTACCTATCATACCTGTTTACCCTTTTCCTTGATATCTTGAAATACTTTTAAATATCAAGTTGCTTTTAGTAATGTCAATAACATTATCATAATAATTATAAAGTCTTTAATTATAACAGCATCGATGTTGATAGCATTAGTAAAAAAAAAGTTTTCCCAGAAATTCAAGGAGAGGTAAAATCAAGTGATGTCACAAGGTATACTATTTGACTCTAAAAATTAGGTTGTTGTATGTCAAAGGTTGTAGAGCATTCTTGGTTAGTATGGTAGTGAAAAGGATAAAGAGAAAACAGCAAATGGAGTATGAAGCCTGTTCAGGACTGACAAAGCCAGTCTTTCATCCTTCAGCATGGCTCTCACACTTTAGGATGTGGGCAGAAGGGGATGAAGAAAAGAAGGGAAAGGAAAGAGGAAGACGAAAAGAATATGCAAAATTAGTTGTGGCAAGGGCATATGTCTGGAAGATACTTGAGTGCAGCCTGACTTAAAAAAAGAAAAACAAATCTAGATCCTTAAGAAGTTATAAAATAAGCACCAAATGTAGATATTTTTGGTGGAAATAATTTTTTTTTTATTTCCCTCTTTCTTACTAGTAGTTATTTATTCATACTACAATTAATAATCCCTTGAAGAATCTTACTTTTCATTATAAATACATACCATGGACAATTTTTTTGCAGTTACCCAAAACGTATGCTAGATACTGTTATATTTCTCATGAGTGTTATATATATATTCTTCACAAACTAGATATTCTCCAACAAAACAGAAATGCATGAAAGAACAGGATGCCTATGTTGTTTTAATCCAACAACACCTTGATAACGTAGTGTTCACTGTAGTATTTTGTGAATTGTCTCTGCATATGGCACCACAAAGGAGTCAATTAGCAGACCTTGAAATCACATTTCCTTAAATTTCTAGATGAAACTTTTTTTTACTAATATCAATGCTGTTGCTTTATAATAGACATAATTATTATAATGATAAGTTGGTGAGACAGGTAGTACTCGTGATTGGCTCATTGTTGGCTTCGTACTAGTAGAGCCATCAATTTGTCAAGGCATTTAATAATCATGCCATCCCTGGTGGCATCAGATTCACAAAACTTTACTTCATTTCCTGTGAAACAGCTTCAAGTTCAGTAAAAAGAAAAAAAAATTGTTGCCATTTGTGCTCATGGTACCAAATAAGTCTTACGATAATGAGAATTGACATAAAAAGTAGATAAATTACCCATTAAAAAATTAAATAAATAATAATAACTAAGGCATTTCTTCCTAACAACAATACCTAGCCAAAATATGCTCCCAGGAATTATGTCTTTCACAACAGGGATTTGCCCTCATTATACCAAGCTACAGTCAGCCACTCTTGTGAGAAAATAAAAACATAGGAAATATTTTTACCCTGCTCTCTATTAATAGGTCAATAATCCAAAATTATAATTGGTTTCCAAATCTTAACACAAACCTAAAATTTGCTATGCAATAATGCTCTTCAATGTGTATTTCTTTGCTGTGGCTGAACCATCACATCTCAGATAGTGGGTAACTTCTTAAAATTTCTTTAGTAAAAGACTAAAAGATTCCCATTATATATTTATTAATGACTAAGTACATACGAACTGTCTTATCACAGACATTTCTTAGAAAAAAGTGGACGAAACTCATGTTTACTAAACAAACATGAATAGCATTTTATTTGACATATTTTCCATATAACAGAGAAAAGTTCATCTCTTCACTATAGACGAAAATGAAGAAAAAATCACATACATCTATTATTATCACAAACCATTTCATACAGACTCCAATATTCATACACTATCCTTCTTCAAGGATTAACTTAACACTATTGCACTGGCAGTAAAGTGTGTCAAAATCAATTTCATCTTTAAAATATGCTTACATAAGCTATCAATAATAATCTATAATGTAAAATTTTGATTACATGACAGGGAAGCAATTTATTTATATATTAGTTTTGTAAATTAGTATTTCCATGGTATTCTTTGTGGCCCCACAATATCTAAACAGCTAGTAAGTTTATTTCTGTTTGTCTGTTCAAGTTCATTTGCATACATGCATGTGTTGTTGGGGTGGTGAAAATATGTAAGTGGGTAACAGATTATTTGATTTTAAGTTTGTGTGTGTTTCTTGCTTAAAATTGTGTGTACTTGTGTTTCCTTGTGTGTAATTGCCAAGCAATTTGAAGTTTGTAGTACAATGTCCCTATCTAATGATGATTCAAAATGTTCTGTACTTTAGAATGGTACAAAAGTGGTGCAAAAGCGCTATGCATATAGCAGAAAGCATTTTGTAGGAACGTTTTTTTTTTTGTATTTTAAATTCTAACTTTTATTTGGGCTATTAACATGTAATGTGATACCCTCTCATAATACTGGGAAGTAGCAGCATGTTGTAACTCCCAATCAGCCATGCAATCTTGAGGGTAAACAACCAATAATCTGTGTTGCTAGTGTTTTACAAATACTGTATTGAGTAACCTTGCCTAAATACAGGCAGCTTTAAGTGCTCTGAGCATGTTAAGCTACAATGGGTGTTGTTAATGTCTTTCTGGATGAAGACATTTTAAGCTTACACTGGCTTCATCAGAACATAAACCTTATCATAAGTCACATAGCTTCTGCACTTTACCAAATATCACCTGTGGAGGTTTAACAAAAAAGGAGAAAGGAAGAAACATAAATGTGCATAAAAACTGCACCTACCATAATAAATACACATAATTATATAAAAAAATTCATAATAAAATATATGTATATAAAAATACACAAAAATGGTATACTAAGATATATACATAACAAAGACACAAATATGAAGAACTTTATAGACAAAAATAGATGACGGCTGTAAACTTCAATAATCATAAATCATTTGAAGTGTACTAGTATCAAATTAAACACACTAGGTAACTGAGCTTAATTGACCAATTAGACTTATTTTAGCACTATATAAAGGAATTGTCTAAATATGAAACAGCAGATGTGACCACTTCTCATATAAATTCAGAAAAAAAAAAAAAAAAAAAAAAAAACATATCTGCTGAATCACAAAGTCCTTTGGAATCATTTTAAAACTTAATATATAGCAATTTCATCGTTCCTCAGGAGTAAGCCTTCTCAATAACATATCACTCAAATGACAATATCTAAAGCAAAACATGCACTGTTATTTTTGTTGTACCAGTATTATAAAAGTCATTGTATATCTGGTCTGGCTGCACATTCATAACAGATCTCAGGGCAGTATTCATGAAAGATCATAAGCTTCAAAATGTCTTTGACATGAAAAACATATTTGACTCCAAGATTTTGTCTAGGACTCCTCACGATAATGTCCTTGACACCCAACTTTTTGTCTATGATTCAGATCTGGATGTTTTCCACACAAGTCAAAGACTTTTTTGGACAACCTTTACATTTGTCAAAGAAAATTCTATGACCTTTTGTGAACACTGACCTAGGTGCCTGAAACTTCACCATTGCATCTTTTGTCTAATCACAATCACTGCCTTTTGAAGGGATAGATAACATGGAAGATGCAACAGCATTTTCAATAATCTACAGTGAAGGAATTAAGTAGTTAAAAGTGATATCATATTACCTAATATTGTAGAAGTCACCTTTATTCTGAGGTAGGGTACACTTCTGATTATCTGGATGAAATGCTTCTGGTAATTATAAGTTCTTGAGGTATCTTGAATAAGCATCATTTACCATTATAGTCTCAAATATGTTTATCTGTGTAAGCACCAGTCACCCTGAGCTTGTCAGGGGAGTAATGTTGCCTCCCTCATTCACAGAGATGGCAGCTCTTCCTAGGTCTTTGTAATTCTATATTGCTGAATATCACTACATATCCCAGTTATTAGCATCATAGTGTAAATAATCACTCATTACCTTCTAACTTTAGAAGTAAAGCTAATTTGTGAACAACTATGATCCATTACACAGTTTCTGGATTTCATCCTGTACACATTACAATGCATAATATAACAAAAATATATGTATTTGTATATATATTTTTTCTATTCTTATATATTTTCTTATTAAAACTATAATGGTTAAAGTATCAAAAGATATACAATGTGCAACAAATTATCATACTCATTTTTGTTGTCAACAGGTAAAATTTTCAGCAAATTTAAACTATTACAAACCATATATAAAATAAAACATTTAAATAACTTTCATTACATTTAGTATAAGATCATGATTAACTCAGGTACTGCCAATAAATCTGACTGTCATAACTGCTGCTAATACTTCCAATATTCAATAATTCAAAGATCAATAGATCCTTTCAGGGAAATTTTCCCCCAGAATATTTCCTGCCCCTAGTTCATGTTTCCATATCACCATATCCAGTTTTCTTTTCCCAAAATTTGATTTGCAACATGGCTAAATTCAGGTTGGCTTCATGCTGTGCTCTCTGCCATTCATGAGCTTCCCTTTGTTGCTGGTATCGTTCCTGAAGTGTTTTCCTCTCCAGTCTTAAATTTTCTATTGACAATTGTGCTTGCTGCATTTGCAACTGAGCTAATAAGATATCTTGATCACATAACTGATCCATTTTTTGTTTTCTTGTTCGCCTTGAAGGTCCTATGTTGGCAGTTAAGTCAGCATTTGGCTTTTCATAATAAGAGGGCTGGTCACAGTTCTGGGAGGTGTCAGAAGCAGATGACTGACTGGTCTGAAAATTCTCCATTCTGATATTGGAGTTTGTTGTTGCTGAGGCTTCTGGCATTAAACAATCTGGCACTATATCTTGTGGATCTACCACAACATTCTTCACATCATCATCTGAAAATTTAGAACAAGCAAGTAAGGAAATAAGTAAAGAAAACCCATGAAATTGCAAATATAAAGAGAAAAGAGGTATTCCATTAGTGTCTATAATGTTCCACCTACATGATTTATCAATTTGTGCTGGGAAGGCATGGCAGA